AGCTGTGCCAGGGTGCTCTAAGAAGGTGGCTCTCAGAATATATTAATGTTGGCTGCTAAGCAGTCTATCTAATATAGAAGACTGTTTTAGTCACCCTAGAAAATATACTGTTGCTTCTTGTAAAAGCCCAGGGAATAACCCGAGTGACAATGCTCTGGGACTTAGAGAACACACTAAGCTGTGTTACCAGGTCAGCAAAGACAGGCTTTTCTTACAGGCTAATTTTAAACACAGAGACTGAGAGCAAAAAGGAAGAAAACAGACACACTGGGAGTGTTTTTATGCCACATGAAACACAAACTGGAAGAAGTAGTGAGAAAAATTAATAGACTGTTTCTTTCACGTCAAGAAATGTTTAAATTCCCAACAACAAAATAGGTGGACAAGATCTGGCCAAATTTAAGTAGTTCTATGTGCTTGGCTACTGATGCTTGGTGGCAGTATCTCATTAACCAGTACTTCTGGCACCTGCTGGGCATGTACTTTTAAAAAAAAAAAAAAAAAAAAAAAAAAAAGAAAAAGAAAAAAACCCCAGAAACCAAAAAACCCATAACAAAACAAAAAACCAACCAGCAGTGCTTCATACGTTTCCTCTGTTGTTCTGTATTCAAAGGAACAAGCAATTGTGCATTAAGGTGTGAAATCTAATGATGGGATTCCCACCAATTTCTAGTCTCCTCCACCCAAAATCTTTCCCTGGGCCGAAAACATATCAAAGAATGGTACCTAATTAAAAAATAAAAATAAAGGATAGCACTCTCCCCTTGCTTCCCCCCCCCAATTAATCTAAATGATAGGGATCAGATGACTGAAGTCATTCCAGATACATGTACATGGTACTACACCACAATTATTGGCTCAGCATCCCTAGTATAGAGAGCAAGTGTATCGAGAACAAACATTTTGAAGATGTAGGCTTTTGGCATTTTCAATTCTGTGGCCAGAGACGTGAATGAGGAATGCAGGTGAACGTAAATACTAAGTTTCAAAAAAAATCCTTTCAAGAGGGAAATGGGAAGAAAATTACCGCCCTTCCGCATTATAAGTTAAAAAAAATTAGCAAAGAGCAAACTGAAAAAATGAGAAACCACAGTGTTTTGAAAGTACTTGGTGCGAAATGACAATAAAGGACAAAATGCTACAGAAAAAACTTGAGCTTTAACAATGTCAGTGAAACAGCTTCATATTGAGCACGTTTGTGGTAGAGTTGCCATTCACTTGTAACAACATCCAACCACCCACCTTCTCCTGCCTCAGTCAGGAAAGCGCACTTCTCTCAACAGCTAAAGGGAACCCTCCACACCGAGCCTGAAGTTTCTGCTACGTGAAATTGGCCAAAAGGATCTTCAAGTGGCAGAGGGAGAGTTAGTTATTCTACCCATTCACTCTCTACAAAGAGAGCTATTCTACCTTTTCGTAGCTCTGGAAAGATCCAATAGCTGTTGTATCCCCCTTCCCCCTCCGGGAAATACAAAAATTTCAAATTTCACAACCATGGAGCTGTCAGTGTATCAGCCGGGACCTTAGGAGTTTCCTTTTACGAAAAGTTTCCACTGCAACTCAAACGATTACAAGCAAATAATCACAGGTGGAATATACTTTTTTCAAAAACTTTCAAAGATCGCGAGTAATACAGTCTATATACCCTTCTATGATTTTCAAAAGAGCAGGAGAAGATTCTAAAGCATCATACAGCACAGTCAAAAAATGGACATAGTCAACTGAATGAACATGATATTTTGCATTCATAAGAGCTGAAGAATTCTCGTTACTTTAAATTTTGTTTCCATTTCAGCTCTTTAAAATTCTTATTTTCTTCTTTCTTCCATTTGCAAAGGAATAATTAAAATTAAATTAAACTCTTTCATTTTAAATAATCTCAGGTCATTTCCCTTAAGAGGCAGACACCAATAAGCAAAAATACTGCCTTAAAGCAGAGAGCACGGAGCTGATTTCTCAGTCCTCCTAGGCAAAAATGACGTCTGTAAGTTCACATGGTTACAAAATAGATGGACTCTATTTTGAGAAATATATTTATGGCATATAAATTGTTGCTAAATTGACTTATTCAAACAATTACAGTGTGTGTAGCTACCTCTCCAATTAAAGTTCATATCTGGCTAAGGTAATCAGTTGTATTTGTGAGCATGCAATTATAATCTGCCTAATAATTATACATTTTTAAATCATACTTTTCACACACTAGCTGGCTCATTCGATATATGGACAGGGTGTTACACCATGAAAGAATTCATTCATTAGAGTTCAATGACTTGTGTCTTTATTTCCTTGGGTACACTGCCCAAGTGTTTGCTTTCTGCACACTTCTGCTCCCAACTGCGGGATCTGGACTTAGCCCCTTTTAACATGTCTTTGTCAGAAAGTCGATGAATACCTAATCTTCAAACCCAGTGTAAAAGCCTCTTGTGGTCCACATCGTTGTCCTGAAAACTCCTAGCAGCATGTACCTGAAGAAAAAGCTGGCAGCAGCAGCCTTCATGTGTTAATTACACATGCGAAGCCCATTATGCAGAGAAAGGGCACCTGCTGGCAGTGCAAATGACTGGAATCTGCCCTTCCTGTGCAGTGAGTAAATTGAAGGTTCATTTCTAGAGGAGATAATAGTTTTTAGATTCCGTTCCGTGTATCCTCGACATAGGCACATACTTAACATTTAAATCATCTGCAGAGGAACAAGCTCCCTTTAAATCTACATGTTTCAGTTCCTAGCACTTCACTTAAAAATGCTAGTTACGCCGGCTGGTTCCTTACTCTTGCTTAAATGCAGGGAAAACGTCACACAGCACACTATCACTCTTCAAAAAAACCAGCCAACCTCCACACTAAGAGCCACACTTAAAATATGGTATCGTATGACACAGTAAGTTTAAGTTCATTTTTTTTCTAGGACTTTTTAAAATGCTAGGGGGCAGAGGGAGGCTGTTTCAAATCATTCCCAAAAGCGCATTAAGCACCACACTCCCACAAACATTTCTACTACACAGGGAGACCTGGAAGGCCAGCCAGTAGGCTTTGCCAGTAAAGACAAATGCATTGATTCCCTCAGCCTTTTCTGTCCTTCATCACTTGACGACGTGACCACGCAGGAGCAGGTCCGCATTTTCCTTGTGCTTTCCTTTTACTTCCAAGCCTGTGGAAGCCTCTGTGGTGGTGCATTCCCCCCCCCGACCCATCTCCTGGGCTGCTTGTTGATCTCAGAAATTCCCGTGAAACCTTGGCCTCAGTGCAATGAGTCTGGCGGTTCAG